AACCTGTGTACAACTACCAGGGTGTGTCCCTCTACCAAAGCCGTATAAGGAAACACACAGAGGGAATTTCCCATTAAAAGGACAGACTCTGGAGTGTAACCTTTCAGACTGCTGAAGCCTCAAATTGTCTTTGGCTGCACTTTCGAATACGTTCTGCTCCGAGAAAGGACTTGATTTTGTTAATGAAGGTATCACTTCACTACCACTTGTAAAATCTGATCATATCCTCTAATTTAAATGGTAGGGATGAATAAATACAATATATTAGAATAAAACATAAAGTGAATCACAGGGGACAGATACAAACGAGTTGATTCTTTAAGGCATGATGCTTCTTTGGCTTCATTGCAGTAAGGTTGATAAAAACACCAAATCTAGTTGTTCTGGTCATGGTCTGTAGTGCAATTGAATTAGAAACATAAACTCATATTTTTCTTTTAGGTAATCCAGCAGATTTACTGTAATGGATCAGAGACGGGGACAGGATCATATATATGTTTGCTGAAATGCATACAATGTTTGTCTAATTCTTTCTGAGGCCACTGAGTGTTGTCTTGTTTTTGCCATCTGTTGCTTTTGGTCACATCTTGCGTACTGCGACAGTAACATGGGTTTCCTCCTCTGTAGTTTCCCCTCTCTGCCAGAGAAAATTAAATTAGACCGGCTGCCATGGGTGCGTGACACTGATATGTAATTTCTGTACGTGATCAGAGTTTGCAGTTTGATCTCAATCTGTTGTCCTCATCTCGACTCCTCCTTTGAGAGCGACGTACCGTCATAATGCATAAATCACTTGATTGGAATCACATTTTGTTTGGTTAACTCGTCCACGTCATCCAAACAAGATGGATTTAGAAATGAGGGAGTGACTTTGACCTTTGCTGGCTCCAGAAAGAAAAAATCTATTTATGCTGCTGTCCAGATAAACAACTTCTCCATCGACTCACAATGCTGGATCATTAGCCTTATCCATATGATATCTGTTACACCACCATCTGTTTGAGTAAAAGATAGTTACACCACTATCTTTTAATCA